ACCAGCAAGCAATTCATCCCGAGCTCAACCGTGCAACATACAGGTATCTGCCAGGCATCATGGGCGTGGCTCCAGTAGGACTTCCTGCAGCCATGGAAGGAATCATCCCTGGAGGCGTCCCAATGACTTACAACCTCCTGAGAGTGGCACATCCTTCCCAAGCTCCCTCTCCCAACCAGCCTACAAAACATGGGGACAACTGAGAGCACCCTAATGAGCAATAGCAAAGAATGCCCAAAGGTAATCATTCTGACACACTTGGGACCATGAGCCAGTGAAAAATAGATGAACTAAGAAAAAAATATTACAGTCTTTTTAACTGATTCTGGACAGAGGCATCACTGATGTCACAGTGCTAAAACTACAAGAGCTAGACAACTGAAGATGTCGTCTGCTTATGGAAGCGCTGAAAGACTAGGATGTGACTTACTAACAACCAACTTCCGTTATTGTGTGTTAAGTTTTTCATCTGTGCATCAAACCACAAATAATAGAGCTTTTTTCTTTATTGGTCCCTTGGGCACAGCAGGTCCCAAACACCGTTCTCTAGAATGTTGCCTTAAGAGTTCAAACATCAGGCCGGGTGCGGTGGCTCAAGCCTGTAATCCCAGCACTTTGGGAGGCCGAGATGGGTGAATCACGAGGTCAGGAGATCGAGACCATCCTGGCTAACACGTTGAAACCCCGTCTCTACTAAAAAAAAAAATACAAAAAACTAGCCGGGCGACGTAGCGGGCACCTATAGTCCTAGCTACTCCAGAGGCTGAGGTAGGAGAATGGTGTAAGCTCAGGAGGCGGAGCTTGCAGTGAGCTGAGATCCGGACACTGCACTCCAGCCTGGGCGACAGAGCCAGACTCTGTCTCAAAAAAAAAAAAAAGAGTTCAAAGATCAGGCCATGCACGGTGGCTCACGCCTGTAATCCCAGCACTTGGGAGCCCAACAGGTGGATCACCTGAGGTCAGGAGTTCGAGACCAGCCTGGCCAAAATGGTGAAACTCCGTCTCTACTAAAAATACAAAAATTAGCTGGGCGTGGTGGTGAGCGCCTGTAATCCCAGCTACTCGGGAGGCTGATGTAGGAGAATTGTTTGAATCTGGGAGGTGGAGGTTGCAGTAAGCCAAGATTGTGCCACTGCACTCCAGCCTAGGTGAAAGAGCAAGACTCTGTCTCAAGGAAAAAAAAAAAAAAAAAAAGAGTTCAAACATCAAAATAAAAAATATTAAGAGGAAAGCTTCATCCCGTGACTCTAGTCCCTTCAGTCTACAGGGGCTGTTTAACTCTTTTTGCTAGTAGGAAGATAACATTGCTACAAAATGGGGAGAAAACTGTTTGCCTGTGGTAGATACCTGCACACATAGGATTGAAGACAGTACAGGCTCCTGTGAGACACATTTCTCCTCTCACATCTGTTTTTTGTTTTGTTTTGTTTTGAGATGGAGTCTTGCTCTGTCACCCAGGCTGGAGTGCAGTGGTGAGATCTGGACTCACTGCAACCTCTGCCTCCCAGGTTCAAGTGATTCTCCTGTGTCAGCCTCCCGAGTACCTAGGATTACAAGCATACACCACCACGCCCAGCTAATTTTTGTATTTTTAGTAGTGATGCGGTTTCACCATATTGGCCAGACTGGTCTCGAACTCCTGACCTCAGGTGATTCACCTGCCTCAGCCTCCCAAAGTGTTGGGATCACAGGCGTGAGCCACTGCGCCCGGTCCCACGCTCACATCTGAATTGCATACTGAGTTAGGAAGTTAGTCATGAGTTCAGTAAAACCCTCTGATGATGCAAAAAAGAAAAAAAAAGTATTACGTTTCCCAAGCTGTTTGTACTCAAAATACATTTTCTCAGTTTCAGATCCTTTCCTATTTTATTGAGTGGAAAGTCTTGAACTCAAAGTGTTCAGGAAGAATAATGTTGCATTTCCTTATGTCTCCAGAAACACTTTTAATGGTAACTTGTCATACTGTCTATGAACAAACCCATTGTTTTTAGACATTAATAAAGTCTTCTTTTCGTGGTATTTTATACAAGAACACTTCAGATGTATTAGATTTGACTGATTTTTAACAAATCCTATTAGATTTATATCAACTAGTTACATGTTCTATTCATAGACTTTTGTGAATCATTGCCTTTTGTTTAAAAAGATGGCCTATTTTCCAGGCACAGTGGCTCATGCCTGTAATCCCATCTCTTCGGGAGGCTGAGGCAGGCAGATCACCTGAGATCGGAAGTTCAAGACCAGCCCAACCAACATGGAGAAACCCTGTCTCTACTAAAAACACAAAATTAGCCAGGCAATGGTAGTGCAAGCCTGTAATCCCAGTTACTTGGGAGGCTGAGGCAGGAGAATCACTTGAACCTGGGAGATGGAGGCTGTGGTGAGCCGAGATCGCGCCGTTGCACTCCAGCCTGCCTGGGCAACAAGAGCAAAATTCCAACTCAAAAAAAAAAAAAAAAAGATGGTCTATTTCAAGTCTTTGCATAGGTACACTCCTGTTTTTGTGACAAAAGAAAAACTTTAAAATTGCCCCAAACAGAAAAATAATGGCTATCAGAAATATGTTTTATTTAATTTTTAATTTTTATTTTGAGATGGAGTCTTTGCTCTGTTGCCCAGGCTTGAATGCAGTGGCATGATCTCAGCGGACTGCAGCCTCCACCTCCCAAGTTCAAGCAGTTCTCCTGTCTTGGCCTCCTGAGTAGCTGGTATCACAGATGGCCGCCACCACACCTGGCTAATTTTTGTATTTTTAGTAGAGACGGGGTTTCACCATGTTGCCCAGGCTGGTCTCAAACTCCTGACCTCAGGTGATCCACCCACCTCAGCCTCACAAAGTGCTGGGATTACAGGCGTGAGCCACCGTGCCTGGTCCAGTTAATAGTTTCAACTATGTAAATCATTACACTAGATTCCCACTCACCATTCTCATTGCCAGCATTCCTGAACTTAAGTTGGCTCTGGAAATTCTCCAACCATAGTGAATCCTATTTTCTATGACCCCATAAATATTGGGCATTGTTGTGATATGTTAGAATATGAACCCCTGGTTGGGAAAGGCGGTATCATATATGCAGTCTTTCTACCTCTACGTGGTCACATAAGAATGACATCTGACCTGGAACATTTCCTTACCAAGAAATACGGATCCCACATGGGCTGTGCAATGTGTTTGTGTTTTAAGCTAAGTGATATTACAGAAGAGTCAAAAAGTTTTTAAAATTTTGAACGTTTATAAAGTAAAAAAGTTACAGCAAGGAAGGATTATGGAAGAAAAACTTTAAATTAATGTAGCCTAAGTGTACAGTGTTTATAAAGTCTAGAGTGGTGTACCGTAATGTCCCAGCCTTCACATTCACTCACCTCTCACCGACTCTCCAGAGCAACTTCCAGTCCTGCAGCCTCCATTCATGGTAAGTACCCTATACAGGTATACCATTTTTTACTTCGTATGCTGATTTTTTACTGTAGCTTTTGTGTGTTTAGATATGTTTAGATACATAAATACTTACCATTGTGTTCTGTGGGTAAAAGCCACCCAGGTGCTGAGGCAAGAGACTGAGGGCATGAGCTGTTCCAGTATAATATATATAATAACAAGAGTTATACTAGATATAGATCACAGATATGATTATATATATCACTAATCATTAGTTTGTAGTAATTACTCTTTATTCAAATATTATAATAATCCTCACTCTACAATCATAACCTAGAAAAAAATCAGGCCATAGAGAGATAGGAGCTGAAGGGACATGGTGAGAAGTGACCAGACACAAGAGTGTGAGCCTTCTGTTATGCCTGGACAGGGCTACCAGAGGGTTCCTTGGTCTAGCGGTAATGCCAGCATCTGGAAAGATGCCTGTTACCAAGCAGACCGTGGTCTAGCGGTAGCGTCAGTGGCAAGGAAAAGCACCCGCTACTTAGCAGACCAGCAAAGGGAGTCTCCCTTTCCCTGGGGGAGTTTAGAGAAGACTCTAGTCCACTCCGTCTTGCGGAGGGCCTGATATTAGTCAGGCCTGCCCAGTTTTCTGGAGGCCTAACCGTCTTCCTGTGATGCTGTGCTTCAGTGGTCACACTCCTGGTCTGCTTCCATGTTCCATCCTGTACACCTGGCTCTGCCTTCTAGATAGCAGTAGCAAAATGAGTGAAAGTACTGAAAGTCTCTGATATGCAGAAATAATGGTGCAAGCTGTCTTCACTCTCTCTCCACCTCAGCTTCCAAACAGGGAAGGGCCCCCTGTCCAGTGGACATGTGACCTTACCTATCATTGGAGATGACTCACACTCCTTACCCTGCCCCCTTGTCTTGTATCCAATAAATAACAGCGCAGCCTGGCATTCGGGGCCACTACTGGTCTCTGCGTCTTGGTGGTAGTGGTCCCCCGGGCCCAGCTGTCTTTTCATTTCTTTGTCTTTTGTCTTTACATCTATGATCTCTCATCTCCACACACGGGGAGAAAAACCCACAGACCCTGTGGGGCTGGTCCCTAAAGCGTTCCAACTGTATTCAGTACAAGTACCGTATTCAGTAGAGTAACATGCTGTATAGCTTTGTAGTCTAGGAGCAACAGGTTATACCATATAGCCTAAGTATTCAGTCAGCTATACTGTCTAGGTTTGTGTAAGTACACTCTATAATGATGAAATTATTACACAATGATGAAATTGCCCAACAATGTATTTCTCAGAATGTATTTTTTTTTTGAGACCGAGTCTCACTCTGTCGCCCAGGCTGGAGTGTTGTGGTGCAATCTCGGCTCACTGCAACCTCCGCCTCCTGGGTTCAAGTGATTCTCCTGCGTCAGCCTCCAGAGTAGTTGGGACTACAGGTGCGCACCAGCACGCCTGGTCAATTTTTGCATTTTTAATATAGATGGGGTTTATACTATGTTGCCCAGGCTGGTCTCGAACCCCTCAGTCTCCCAAAGTGCTGGGATTACAGGCGTGAACCACCGCGCCCGGCTAAAATATATCCTTATTATTAAGCTATGCATTACTGTTTATACAATATCTTTATAGGTCAAAAGCAGTCAAATATTGGCCATAAGATATACTTAGTCCAAGTACACAAATAATTGCAGAAGGAGAAAGTGAAACTCCTCTTACTTCCTGTTGCACTCATTTATCACAAAGTACACAGAACTCAGAATAACACCTGCCCTTTGCAATTTCACACTCCTCTCTTTCTGCCTCTCCAAACCTGTCCCACGTTTGGCGATTCCTTTCCTTCGACCTCCCCCATCACGTCGCAGGTTCCTGGTCTACACCCCTTCTGCCTCTCCAATTAGTTTTGAGCCTCACAACCTCTGGTCCCATAACCCCTCTGCACTAAGGAGCACTAAAAGGCCAAAACAGCAACCCGGCGTGTTTGCGCCTGCGTACTCTGGGCGCACAGCACTCAGGCCTACAGCGCAGCGCCGGCTTATCTGTGAGAGCAATTAAGATGACTTTCGAAGGGTCCAACCGCCTTCCCAGCTCCGAACTACATCTCCCAGAAGGCTCAGCTGTGCGATTATCTTTCCGTGTGGACTTGTCCTCTTTCTGAGGCTGTCCAGCGCCTGGGGGCAGTAGGACGGGTCCGGGAACTAAGCCCATCTCAAACACGTCGGAGTGGCTTTCTTTGGGGGCCAAGGCTCGAGCCTCAGCCAGGGCTCCGTGAGGCCTCTGGGGCGCGAGCGGTTTGATGAGGGGGGCGATCCTTTCGGCTGGGCTGACGCTAGGCGCGGACAGCAATTCTGACAATCGGGAGCCATCTTCTCCGGCCTTGATACGTCTCTGACTACGTTTCCCAGGGGACTCCTCGGCAAGACTGTATTTCTCGCGGGAATTCAGCATCCAAGTCACGCGCTGGCGGGACCCTGAGGGCTTTACCAGCAACTACCCCAGTGCTGGGGAGGATTCTGCTGCTTCGGAAGCTCGTAAGGCCGGAGGTGAGGAACCCGGGAGAGGGCGGGGCCGGGGGCCGGGCCTCGGCTTTGTGCGGCGGTGGAGGTGAGGTTGAAAGTGTGCGCTTGCGTCTGTGTGGAGGTGTGTGGTGAATGATCGCGCGATTGTGACAGGCTGCTCTTGTGATGAGTGTGTTTCCAACGCTCACACCGTGTGCAGCACGGCCTCGGAGACTGTGGCTGCTGGTGTGTGTGAGAGGGAGCGGGACCACGTGCGGCATTGTGTGTGCGGCCGTGGGGAGCTGGTGTCTGGTTGAGTGTTACCGCGTTTGTCCCCGTAGTGATGTGCGACTGTGTGCTGTGTGACTGTGCGGCAGAGTTCAGGTGGGGATACCTGCGAGTAACTGCATGTTTCTATCTGTGTGTGTGGCTGTGGTTAATGTGTGATCGTGACTGTGACCGGGTACAGGTGTGCGCCGACAATGTGGTTGTGACAATGTGGTTGTGACTGTGAATGTCTCTTCGGTAAGTGTGCACTTGTGCTTATGTGACCGATGGAGGCCCTCCGTGTGCGACCCTGTTGCTTTGGGCGTGGATTGTCTGTAGCTGAATGTCCCCATGGTGGGGATGTGATCAGGTTTGTGTGACTGGATAGACTTATCAGTGTGAGGTTTTATCACTTAAGTATACTTCTCTAGGCATTATACTCCAGTTTTTCCCCATTTTAAAACTTTATATTAATGTTGTCATACTGTCTTTGGTTTATTTTTACAATTCTGTGAATCATTTCTATTAGATAAAATAGCGGTTAATTCAATTTCTTTGCTATATTGTATTCTCGCTTTTGAAGTACACCACAATTATTCATCCTTTCTAGTAATGATGCCCATATTAGTTATTTATAGTTTTTTATTTTATAAACAACACAGCCACAAACATTCTTTCACATGGGGTACACATGCTTATTTACCAGCAGAATTGCTGGTTCGTATATCTTCCACTTTACTAAACAGTGTCAAAATATATACCAGAGTGGCTGCACAAATTTGTAGTTGAACAGCAGTGTTTGAAATATCTTTTTTTTTTTTTTTTTTCTTTTGAGACGGAGTCTCGCTCTGTCGCCCAGGCTGGAGTGCAGTGGCACAATCTCGGCTCACTGCAACCTCCGCCTCCTGGGTTCACGCCATTCTCCTGCCTCAGCCTCCCGAGTAGCTGGGACTACAGGCGCCCGCCACTACGCCCGGCTAATTTTTTGTATTCTTTAGTAGAGACGGGGTTTCACTGTGTTAGCCAGGATGGCCTCGATCTCCTGACCTCGTGATCCACCCGTCTCGGCCTCCCAAAGTGCTGGGATTACAGGCGTGAGCCACCGCGCCCGGCTGAAATATCTTATTGTTCCTTATCACTACCAAAGCATAGTTCCAAGAGTTAAAAAAAAAATTTTAAGCCAGGTGTGGGGGCTCATGTGTGTAATCCCAGCACTTTGCCAGGTCAAGGCAAGAGGATCGCTTGAGGCCAGGAGTTGGAGACCAGCCGGGGCAACATCGTTAGACCCTAACTCTACCATACATACATACATACATAAAAAATTAGCTGGGCATGGTGGCTGGCACCTATAAGTCCTAGCTACTCAGGAGGTTGAGATGAGAGGATCGCTTGAGCCCAGTACTTTGCAGCTGCAGTAAGCAGTGATCACACCACTGCTCTTCAGCCTGGGCAACAGAGCAGGAGGCTGTCAATAGATACATAGATAGAGTGTGCAAATCTTAAGTGTACAGCTGTGTAACACTCCTAGATCTATACAAAGAACTTTGCCAGGACCTGAGATGGTTCCCTCATGCCTCTTCTCAGTGATTTCTCCCCCAAACAATCTATTGAGAATTCTATCATCATTAACTAGTTTTATCCATTCTTTTTTTCTTTTTCTTTTTTGAGACAGAGTCTTGCTCTTGCCGCCCAGGCTGGAGTGCAGTGACGTGATCTTGGCTCACTGCAACCTCCACCTCCTGGGTTCAAGCGATTCTCCTGCCTCAGCCTCCTGAATAGCTGGGATTACAGGCACCCAACCATCATGCCCGGCTAATTTTTGTATTTTTGGTAGAGACAGGGTTTCTCCATATTGGCCAGGCTGGTCCTGACCTCAGGTGATCCGCCCGCCTTGGCCTCCGAAAGTGCTGGGATTATAGGCATGAGCCAGTGCATCTGGCTCCCTTACACATTCTAGAACTTCCTGTATATATGTAGTTATATAGCATGTACTGTTTTATGCCAGGCTTCTTTTGTTATATATTATGTTTGTGAAATTCATTCATGTTGTTCAGCATAATTGTACATAGTTCTCATTACATTGGGGATATATTGTAGTATATTAGTCGATTACATTGTTAATGACTATTTGGATAGTTTCCAGTTTGGGGCTTTTACAAATGATGCTGCAGCTGTGAACACTCTACGCTGTGTTTGGTGAACACATGAAGGCTTTTCTCCTGGGTTGATACTTAGGAGTGGCATTGCTAGCTCATAGGGTAGGCTAATGTTTAATAGATGCTACCACGCTCTCATGGGGGTGTTCCAGTTTACACTCCATCCAGCAATGTATAAGAGTTCCAGTTGCTTCATATCCTCTCCGTAATTTGGTACTGTTAGTCTTTTAACTATTTTGTTTGTTGTATGGTACAGTTTCATCATAGGTTTTTGTTTTGTTTTGTTTTTTGAGACAGAGTCTTGCTCTGTTGCCCAGGCTGAAGTGCAGTGGTGTGATCTCAGCTCACTGCAAACTCCGCCTCCCAGGTTCAAGTGATTCTCCTGCCTCAGCCTCCTGAGTAGCTGGGATTACAGGTGCACACCACCACACCCAGCTAATTTTTGTATCTTTAGTAGAGACAGAGTTTTACCATGTGAAACTCCTGCCTGCCTCAGCCTCCGAAAGTCCTGGGATTATAGGTGTGAGCCACTGCATCCAGCCTCATCATAGTTTTAATTTGTATTTCCTTGATGTGAAATGATGTTCAGCACCTTTTTGTATTTTTACTGGGCATTTGTATATCCTCTTTTTTTTTTTTTTTTTTTTTTTGAGATGGAGTCTCGCTTTGTCACCCAGGCTGGAGTGCAGTGGTGTGATCTTGGCTCGCTGCAAGCTCCGCCTCCCGGGTTCACGCCATTCTCCTGCCTCAGGCTCCTGAGTAACTAGGACTACAGGTGCCCACCACCACGCCCAGCTAATTTTTTATATTTTTAGTAGAGACGGAGTTTCACTGTGTTAGCCAAGATGGTCTCGATCTCCTGACCTTGTGATCCGCCCGCCTCGGCCTCCCATAGTGCTGGGATTACAGGCATGAGCCACCGTGCCCAGCCCCAGTGTATATCCTCTTTTTTGTGTCCGCTTTCCCCTTTTTACTTTTTTAAAAATATTCCTGCCTCCCTCCCTTCCTTCCTTCTTTTTTTTGAGACAGAGTTTCCCTCTTGCTGCCCAGGCTGGAGTGCAATGGCACAATTTCAGCTCACTGCAACCTCCGCCTCCCAGGTTCAAGCAATTCTCCTGCCTCAGCCTCCCAAGTAGTTGGGATCACAGGCTTGTGCCGCCACGGCCAGCTAATTTTGTATTTTTAGTAGAGACAGGGTTTCGCCATGTTGGTCATGCTGGTCTCGAACTCCTGACCTCAGGTGATCCAACCGCCTCGTCCCCTCAAAGTGCTGGGATTACAGGTGTGAGCCACCATGCCCTGCCTAAAATTTTATTTTCATATTGTGAAGATAGTATAAGGAATTTGCAAATACTTTTCAGGTGCCCATAGTACAATGATGAAAACCAGGAAATTTATGCTGATAGGAAGACTTTTAATTAAATTAGAGACTTTTTTCATATTTTGTTAAATTTTCTTTACTGTTTCAGGATCCAATCCAAGGTCCTGCATTGAATTGTCTTGTTTCTTTAGTCTCCTTCCATCTGTGAGAGTTCTTTAATCCTTTTCATCTTTCAGGACTTTGACCCTTTTGAAGAGTACTGGCCAGTTATTTTGGAAAATATCTTTTTTTTTCTTTTTTTTTTTTCTTTCTTTCTCTCTCTTATTTTTTGAGATGGAGTCTCTGTCACCCAAGCTGGAGTATAATGGCACGATCTAGGCTCACTACAGCCTCCGCCTCTTGGGTTCCAGTGATTCTCCTGCCTCAGCCTCCTGAGCAGCTGGGACTATAGACACACACCATCATGCCCAGCTAATTTTTGTATTTTTGGCAGAGACGAGGTTTCACCATATTGGCCAGGCTGGTCTTGAACTCCTGACCTCATGATCTACCTGCCTTGGCCTCCCACTGCGCCTGGCCGCTTTTTTTTTTTTTTTTTTTTGAGACGAAGTCTCACTCTTGACCCCCAGGCTGGAGTGCAATGGCGCGACCTCGGCTCACTGCAACCTCTGCCTCCCTGGTTCAAGTGATTCTCCTGCCTCAGCCTCCCGAGTAGCTGGGATTACACGTACCTGCCACCACCCCTGGCTGATTTTTGTATTTTTAGTAGAGATGGGATTTCACCATGTTGGCCAGGTTGATCTCGAACTCCTGACCAGGTGATCCGCCCGACTTGACCTCCCAAAGTAGTGGGATTACAGGTGTGAGCCACCGCACCTGGTCCTGGCCACTTTTTTTTTTTAATAGACAAGGTCTTCCTCCATCATCCAAGCTGGAGTGCGAATGCGAGTGCAGTGGCATGATCATGGCTCACTGCAGCCTCAACCTTTAGGGCTCAAGCAATTCTTCCACCTCAGCCCCTGAGTAGCTGGAACTATAGGTATACACCACCACTCCTGGCTATTTCTTTTCTTTTCTTTTCTTTTTGTAGAGATAGCATCTTGCTATATTGCCGAGGCTGGTCTTGAACTCCTGGTTTCATGCTATCCTCCTGCTTTAGCCTCCCAAAGTGCTGGGATTGCCACACCCGGCCTGTAGAATATTTTTCAATTTGGGTTTACCTGATGTTTCTTTATGGTTAGATTTAGACCGTGCAGTTTTGGCAAGAAGGTCACAGAAATGACGTTAAACTCTTCTCAGTGTGTCACATCAGGAGATATATATATATTAGTATATCTCGTTGGCAATGTTAACTTTGAAAACTTGGTGACAATGTTGTTTGCCAGATTTCTCCTCTGTAAAATTACTGTTTTTCCCACTTTATTTAGTAAGTATCTTGTGGAGAAATAATTTGAAACTATGCAAAAATCCGATTTCTCATCATGCTTTCTCACCCATTGGTTTTAACATTCATTGTAAAAACCAATTTTTACAATGTAACAATTATTATTATTATTTTTTTACCTGTAACAATTATTACTGTGATGTTTGCCTAGTGGTGCTTTTCTCCTTCTATCATTTCTTACACTTTGATAATTTAAATTCTACTATAAGGAAGAGCTGTCTCTTCTTCCTCCTGTTAAAGTGAACTAAATATGGCCTGAGAACGACTTTGTATT